CTCATGTGGAACCTGGTTTACTGTAGCAATGGGAGAGGGGGGTGTGGTTGGTGGTGTGGTAGGGGGTGTGCCCCTAACACCACTCTTTTAATAAGTCTTAAGATGGGATGATGGTTATACGGAATTATGAAAAAAAAAATTATATTAAGCATCAAAAGAGTCCGTAGAAGTCTGAATATCAGAATATATGACAAACATGAAGATGATGAATGACAAGTCAAGATGAAAGGCACCACATCTTCTCCTTCCCTCGCCACCGCCAACTATGCTCATCGTCAAAATCAATCTTGACGCGTTGAAAACCGTGACGGCCGATCTCTTAGTTGTGGAACCGGATACCCCTCCAATACCAATTCCAATTTCAACTGTGCAAAAATCATACGCGGACAGTAGGAAGCTTCAGATGAAATTTTGTATTGGTGATGATGTACGTTTGAAAATATATCCCATAACCAATTTTTGTTACAAAAAATCACTCTTTCACATTGAATAATGCTTTACATGCACCATTAATTGATTAACAACAGTCTCATATCTGCTGCAAAATTCTCCCAATAGAACGATGTATGTCTCACTTGAGGCTTTTCCTTTCTACTTTTTTTTTCATTAATGCCTCAAGGACCCAAATAGGGGACCCAATACATGGGACATGTAAGATGTCACTATCCGGTTGCATGATGCACTGTTTATGAACAGTACATCATGCAACCGGATGGTGACACCTCACTTGTCCCATGGCTTGGGTCCCCTATTTGTGAGAAGATAGCAAGTGGGGACCACATGAAAGAGACATTTGTGTGAATTGGTTCACATGAAAGAGATCAGATCACGCGTTTTGTTTTCTTCTCTCGTTGCGGACATCAAGGCAAAGGCCCACCCGAAAGTTGTACAGAGCATTATAAAAACCCTTCTAGGGTTTCGTGAAGGAGTGTGCAAAGTGAGGGGGTGGCTGCGGCTTTGGAGTAGGCAGGGGGAGAAAAACTGCTGCGTGAAACAAGGGAAGGCAGAGGTGAAAATCGACTATTTCTTCTAGGATTTTGTGCAAAAGAGTGCTTTGACGATTGTCCTTTTGTGAGAGAAAAAGTATTTGGAGGCTGACCTTTTCTTGTGAAGAAAAGCAAGGAGCCTATCCAAGGGTTTAGATTGTGAGAGTTGTAAACCCAATTATATTTTTTTTCTCTATAATAGTAGATCCCCCTCCTTGCCCCGTGGACGTAGGCAGTTTGCCGAACCACGTAAAATTGGTTGTTTGAGTTTGTGACCATTGTAATAGTTTTTAGGATCCCTCGACGCGCAGTCCTAGAGCTGACGAGAGGAAGAGCAAATATCCCACTTTGATGGGATATTAGGCTTTCAGATTCTTGTTCCCTTTGAGAAACAAGAATTCTTATCGATCTTTCTCTCTTATTGTGCACCAGAAACTCTGCCAAAATTTTCGCTGCGCACAATAAGTGGTATCAGAGCTCGGGCTACGCTTGGGCTATTTGGAGAAGTAGATCAATTTGGAGGCCCGTTTAGGACTTCGTTGGTGATAAAGGTGGAATCTTTTGGTAAAGACTCTATCTTTCAGTTTTGGATCTATTCTTTGTTCGTTGGTGCGTAAGATGTCGGGGAAAGAAGGTGCTTCGGGTGTCGAGGGTGGTTCTTCTGGCGCGAAAACCATTCAGAGTTTGAATATCCACTCTATGAAGATAGATGTGGAGAAATTTAATGGCACAAACAACTTTGGATTATGGAGATGCGAGGTTTTGGATGCGCTGAACGCGCAGAATTTGGAGGATACCTTGGAGTTAGATGGCAAGCCAGATGACGTTGAAGAGAATGTTTGGAAGAAGATGAATCGAACGGCGTGTGGTGTGATTAGGTCTTGTTTGACTCAAGATCTAAAATATGATGTGATGAATGAGACTTCTGCGAAGAAGATTTGGGAGATTCTCGAAAGCAAGTATTTGACCAAGAGTGTGGAAAATCGCTTGCATTTGAAGAGGAGACTTTATCGT